TCTACAGCAAATCTAAACCATGAGGGAGGGAGTTTGTCAATCAGACCAAAAACTTTATAGTCATCAGTAAAGCTATTTCCTTTTGATTGAAGATGACGAAGGAAATCTTGGAATTCATGAATTTATTCATTTATGGGTTTGTCATCAACCATCTTGAACTTATTAAAGGAAGATGAGGTAAAACGCAGAATTCCGACATTATCATAGTCATATTCTACTTCAAGAGCATTCCATAGGTCTTTAGCACTTTTGAACTCATAATATATGTCATAAAGGTTATCTGCAAGTGCACTAAGAATCCTATGGCAACAATGATAGTTGATTTCTTATCGTTTCATAGAGCTAGAAAAGGAGCTAGCACCAGAACCATAAGTGGAAGGAGTAGGTTCAGGTTGAGGACCATAAAGAGGAGAGTTGGAGGGTTAAACTCCACTAGATGAAGACTCAGGAGTGTTTATGATAGATAGAAGACCTAGGATGGTGAGCCAGTATCTCATCTGATTAGCCCACCGTTTATAGTTAACACCGGTGAACTTCTCAGGTTTGACACTCTTGGAATAATCAAGATTAGTCATAAGTCCGATTTAAGTTAACTAGTCTAGGTGTTTTGGAATCTGAAGGAATGAAAGAGTTTTGTCAATACCACTGGACTAGTTACTTAGGAAATTATGACTTTAAAGGATAAGATTCAAGATGAACAGAACAGAACAAACTTTGAATAATTTTCTTTCGGAAAATATTTATAACAAGTTAACAATTAATTACAAATAAGACAATTAACTGTAATTATTTAAATAATAATTATCAACAATAATTAACAACTATAAATTCGGATGAATAGTAAAAAAAATCTTGAGTCAACAGTAAGTTTTTCGATGAACAGTGAAAATAATAACAGTTAACGTTTTATGAACAGTGATTTCGGGTTTTTTTTTAAAGAACAGTACTTTTGGATTAATTCTTAACAACTATATACTTTATCTTCTAGATTGTTAGAAAAGAACAAATAAAATCTTATAGCATGCAAATTAATAAATAAATCCGAATGTAAAAAGAATCAAAAAAATAAAAGGCCTAATCAGGGGCAGTTGTGTAAACACTGCCCTAGAAGATAAAGGACCCGCTTATCGCCCTGATGCAGATGAACCTCTCTCCCCTAACAATAAAAACCCTAAAATTCGACCGGCCTCTGTACTCAGGCAAGAGAACAGAGCTTCTGCTCAGATGAAGAAAGTTGCCCAAATAATAGTAACAATAACCGAGGAATTTTAGAGAGGAAAACAAAGAATACTTTCAAGAACAAATGAGAGAAGAGAACTTTTAATTTTGTTAATGTTGTGTGTCCCCAAATAGGGTCTTGGGCTGTTTATATAGGGTTGGAGAGTTGTAACCCTCGTTGATCGCACGCATAACATTCAACCATTACGTACTAAACCCGCAGCCATTACACACGTAAAAAATGTGTAAAACGTGCAAAAAAGAAGGCTGAAGAAATAAAAAGCACGCGTGTGTGTGCGGCGTGCGCGTCTGTGTGTTATGCAAAGCCCAAACAATACAAAACCTAAAACACTACTCATAGCCCAATAAGAGGAGAACCATTATAAACCAACAACTATTCATTTTATTTTTCAATGTGGGACTATTCACAAAGGTAAAATTGTTATTTTCTCAATAACATAGCCAATAATATTTAGGAGGATAAGTGGACTGGGTATAACACCCTAAGAAGCTTATTTCCGAGAGCTTACAAATAGGCCTTCTCTGTCAACTCTAATATTCGATCTCAAGGCTTCTTCAACAACAACTCTTGGAAATGACATCCACATCTGAGAAGAAGTTCTTCCCCTAAAGAGAAAAGTGATATTATGATATTATACCAGCACCAGCTCGAATCAGTCAGCCCTCCAAACCCATCCAGTCATTTAAGCTTTGTTTTTCAGGTTATGTCCCAGGTTTTAGGCAAGTGTCTAAGATATACTTCTAGGTGTTTATGTTTGAACAAAGTGTTGTTTTTTTTTTTTTGGTGCACTGGATGTCCAGCCTTAACATTCTGCTACTCGCCTTTCAATGGGGTTTGTTGAAAAAACCTTATGTTTTAACTGTACATTAGGTGACAACAGGGTCCTCTCCCTAATCTCTAGTTTTACTTTCTCCATTTTCAGATTGGCTTGTTTAATATTTTTATAATATAAAATTAACAGGGTATCTCACCATGTTTTTTACTTCAAAAAAATTAAATCCATTCATGGCACAATTTTATACACACTCGAAAGCTAATCTTTTAGGTCTTTACTTAGTAAGAGTTGAAAATTAATGGATCCATATGTTGGGAATTTAAACGCCGAAATCCCTAATGCAACAGAAACGCAGAATAGAAAAATTACACCAAGTTTTAACGAGGTTCGGCAACTGCCTATGTCCTCGGGAGCCACACAGATAATTTCTTATTTAATTTAACAAGAAATTACAAATCAAGAGCAAATCTCTAAACTGAGATTCCTCAAATGAACGCTGTAGCTACAGTGTTAATACCCACAATAAAACCCCCTCTTCACTTTTCTCTCTCTTCTTAAATCTCCCTCAACCACTGTTGAAAGCTGGAGATTAAATGAGAAATCGCTGCTGCGATTTTAAGGGAACGCCGCTGCGTTTTTATCCGCCGCCAGAGAAGATGTCGGGGAGGAGAAGCAACAACCCTAGGGCATCGAAGGGTTTGCTTTTATAGGGGAGATGAATGGGCTGGTGACAGCCTGTCGCCAGCGCACGAACTCGGACGCGATGGTCGGAGGCCAAAACCGCGAGCGTGGGGTGCTGAACGCGGAGGTCGGAGCTCTGAACGCAGGGGTCGGGCCAAAACACCGAGGGTCGCGTTCGCCCAAAGCCACCATCGCGTTCGCCAAAACACCGAGGGTCGTGTTTCACCTGAAGCCGCGCCTGGAGGTCGTCGTCGACTTCGCCTGAGTCGATGTCCGCGCTCGCCTGCAACATCCTTGAGCTCGCCGGAGCTCTTCGGCGGAGGTTGGTATCCACCCCCAACCTAACACCATAACTCTATAGTATTTTGTAGAAAGAGACTTTACTGGAAATCTTCAAATTCTGAAAAACAAACAGATTTTTAAAAAATAATAATAAAGGTGTTCGTTAATTAAATACTCCATATTTTGGTCTATGAGAAGCCTTCTTTTCCTGTGGAGGCAAATTGGAGTTTAAATTTGTGTTCTCAATGACTACAACTTCATAGTTATTTTGATACGGCAGAAGAGACTTTATGAAATTTGATGCACAACACGCACAACTTAAGTCTAAACTTTCGGATAATTTGGGTCTTTACTTATTTTGGTGTCAAAAATCTACTTATGCATGGCAATATCCTGTCCACGGTAGGAGCAGATTTTTTAGGGTATTGGATCTTTAATTAATCTTGGGTTTTTGTAATATTAAACCCCAAAATCTTCACCAGTGTATATTACACCCCCAAATCTTCATATTGTTAAATTAGAACCCCCCAAACCTTTTAAGTTGTTTTAAGTAACATCTCTTGAATGGATTCTGTCCAAAATGTTTATCATAGTAGTATTAGTTAACTCTTAATCCTCTTGATACAGGGGAGAGGGAGACATTGCGAAAGAGAAGAATTTGAGGGAGGAAAGGGGAGAATTCAATTTGAGGAGGAGATAAAATTATTGAATATAGAATTGAGTATTTATAGAGGGGGAAAGAGATGAGCATGTGGGTGATGTGGATTCAGACCCATCACCATTTTAAGACTAAGTAAGAATTCAGTTCGTACAAGCAAATGAAGGAAGTTAGGCACTTAATTAGGCTCTTCATGGGATTGGATTGAGCCATAATTCTAATTTGGTTACTCTCCCTTATGCATGATTCAGCCTCGTGCGACATTGAATAGATAAAGTCAAAACTCAACTAATTATGTATATACACGTTTGACCAAGTTGCCTATCCTAATAATTCATTGCATTTTGATAGTTATGTATTTATAAAGTGTATAATTTTTACTGTTAGTGCGGTTGCAAACTTTAGAGTTGTTGACATAATCTATAAGTCAAAAGCTTTGAAACTTAGCCAACAAACTGTGGTTGATATTGTTAGAGAGTCATATGTGAGCATAGTCTCATATCAGATAGTCTCATATCAGATGTGATAAGAAATCATAATGAGTTCAAAATAGGAGTTGAGGTAAGTAGCTAACAACTTAAGCTTTTAAGTTAAAATTGCTTTCTAGCTTGTTTAAGATCCGTTACCTGTGGATTGGGTTTGATTACTCCCCATCAGATCTATGAGTTTGAATTCAGTTTACAGTGTCTCTTTTTTTTTCTTTTTTCTTTTTGGTGCATGGATTAATGGGCATGATTAGATAATTGATTTTTTTTCTTGTATCAAAAAATAATGAAGAGGCTTGTACTTAATTTAATTATAAATATTTAGTAGTTAGTGGTTGGTCATAATTCATTCTAAAATCTAATGCTCATCATTTATGTGGTGTGTATTGCACACATTCCAAGCGAATCACAGATGTATATTGAAGAAATATATAGATGATTCTGATTTAAAAACAATAGTCTCTTTAATATTTTTTGATAGTGCAGGAGATCTCAATCCCTATTGTATACATGAATGCAAGTGGAGAAAAACATCTTTAAATAATAGAATCAATTATCTAAGTTTTGGATATAGTTCTCACTTAAATTTCTCCTCCTCCATGTTCTCTATCTTTACACATACGGTACTCCTGTGAGAAACTCAAGCAACAAGGAAATGTTGTATATAAAAATAACTTCAATTAAGTCCTAATATTTACTCAATAAGCAATAAGGATGATCATATTCCCATTCCTAACTTGCCAAAAAATACATGAAGAGTAGTTAATTAAATCAATACAATTTATAAATAGATAATATATAATAAATTTCTTTTGAACCATCTTGATACAATTCACAAACAAATCATAATATATTGACCCATGCAGACCTAACTTTTAACAAATAATAAGTCAATCATGACTACAATCTCTTACAATTACACACTAACAAATCCAAATCCTTATTTCAAGCTGTACCTACAAATCATATTTGCACTTATAATTTCCCTTCTTGGCCAAAAGAATTCTCTTAAGCATAGCTACACATCCCATACTTGCAAAAATTGCCCTTCTTGCATCTGATCTTGCATCCTCCACAGTTCTTGGCATCATACATTATGTTCACACAATTACCACTACAGCAAGCCTCTCCATACCTACATTTCATCCCACACTCACCGCAGTTGAGATTGTCGATCATTACATCCACGCAGTGTTTTCGACAGCAGTCAGGGCCGGGGCTCCCCGTCGCTCGACAAACCCTAGGGAACTTATCACATGTCATAGATGCTCTAGGGTTGTAGTGGTCAAAAAAATGGCTCGTGCTCCTTAGGGATGGTGATTCATCTTCAACGGATGAAGATGGCGTGTTAGTACTTGCCAAGGTCACACACATGAACAATGCCACGATGATGAAGATCCTTGACATCATTTTCTTATTTGGTAGGAGACAAATGTTAAGGGAGAAGGTTTTTTTGGTGATTAGGGTTTTGGAGGACATAAGAGAATGAGACGGGCTTTTATAGAAGGAAGGATAATGGAATTGAACCTTAATTTCACCCGTTTAAGAGCATATAAGGAGAATTTAGCCTCTTCAAGAAACCAAGAAGTTAGGCCTCCCACTGGAATAGTGAGGGCTACCTCTTAACCTCACGCAGAATTTGATTTTGATACAAAAGTCAAATATCTTCTAAGTTTGTACTTCACTTTGACAATTGTTGGTATATACTGTCAGAAAGTCTTTGATTTGGCATATTCCACCTTCTCTACTTGTATGTGTGTGTATTATAAACTTGTACTCATTATAATGGTTTCGAAATTAAGTTGTTTGAGAGTTTATTTTTAATTTTCAATCATCAACTATTTTTATTTAGTATATGACTATGATTTATCTTTTTAAAATAAGAAATGAATGTGATGATATTATAATTAAAATAAACGGCTTAGGATAAAAATTATGGAGATATTTTAAAAGTAATTGATAATAGAGAGGTATCGAATTCATTATTAGTGGAGAGAATTTACTCAGCTTGACAAGATTTTTCTCCGGATAAATGATAAACTTAGAATCCAGCTGCCATTAGATAGTTACGTGAGTACAACTCGGAGTATTAAGTATTTTTATTAATTTGATCATGTTGCAGGTCGAACTTCAAGTCTAATATTAATACGCAGTATCTGACTCTGGTTTGTCATATATGGGGTTTTAGGAACTAATCAAAATTTTACCTAGGCATGAAGTTTATTGACATGTTCCTTTGCATGCAACAGCAGTAAAGAGCACACTAGTCTGTGTTAATGAAAAACTGAAATGAGAAACTTTTTTTTTTGAACTGAAAAAGCAGGGTTAAGGCCCTGCTCATATAGGGATATTATTAAAAACCAAAGCATTACAGATAAGACAACCAACTAGGTGGAGGATCGCAGAGGGTGAAATGAGAAACTTTAATTGTTTCTAGCATGTTAATTGAAGGATTTGAATCATTTCCATTACAAAAAAGTAGTACAATACTTGATTAATAGCTGTTGATTTATCTAGCAGATGGTTATGATTCATTTTAAGCCTAACACTTACAGCATCCCCATGAATTGCACATATATTTCAAATTAACATTCTAAGACAGATTACAACCATGCACTAAGTAAATCAACTGCTACTATTAAGATAATGGTACTCCACTATTTTTTCGATTGTGTAGAGGATCCAAACCGGTTGATTAAATGTCACAATACTATGCAAAAGTTTGGGGGAAAAAAATTTTCCAATTTTTTTCCCCTTGAGGGAAGCCATTCCACCTAATTTTATTCTCATAATGTCTTTGTCTGCAAATTTAGATGTTTTTAAGATGGAAAATCTTTATATTTGTTATTTGTACGACTATATACGTATTATCCTCATGTATCTATAGAATAATGGTAAAAAAACATTTTGAAATTTTATTTGAATAAGTATTACTCCAGAAGTAAGTGGAAATTTTTGATGATTTTTCCATATTATTTTTTTTTCTCCTTTCATTCAGCCACTTCTTTTCAGTATCACCATCTTCTAAAATTTTTATAAAAAATTAAAATATCAAATACATTAGTATAACTATCTCTAAATTGAAGAAGGGTATATTTTTTCACGCTAAACGTATATACAGGACTTTACTCAACTAGAAATAGGGAAAATTGCTTCCATACTGCCAGAATAAAATATAACTTTTTTTAAACGTACAGAAACTTTGGAATTAAAAAAAAAAAAAGCAAACATGCTGCAGAGCTTTCTTTTTTTATAAAAAAAAAGAAAATATGCTACGAATGCCTTTAGTTATTAACCATCCAGCAAACAAAAAGAAAACAGCGTGTATTATAAATTTGAGTCTTACTTTTATAAATCCTTATTATAACATATATTCTGATGTAATGACTCCATTTGGAGCTCGATCGATGAATGATGAACAAGCAATCAATAGATGACACTTCTTCATTTATATACCAAAATAATTATTATATCCCCTTTTTAATATATGTATTTTATAATGTCTCTACGCATATATAGTTGCACATTCCGTAGTAACACTTTGCTCCCTTGGCGCATTGGTTGTTGCAGCTCCCGCACTGTCTGGGGTTATATTTCACGTCCAGGCACCGGCCGTCGCAGCATGTGTCGGTAAACTTGCACACATTCCCACATTTCCTGCAGTTTAGGGCTTCGGTGTTGACGTCGATGCACATATCGCCGCAACACTCCTTTCCTTGTGCCTTGCAAATTGATGCATCCATGCTACGTACACTTTACATTCTTCAGTCTATGCCCATTTCCGTTACCTTCTCCGTTTCTGTTCCCTCCATTTCCGCCCCCATTTCCGTTTCCATTCCCTCCCCCATTTTCGCTTCCTCCTCCATGTCCTGCAAGAAAGCGGCTTCTTTTTAAACTTTGAGCGTTAGCGGGCGACGAGGTCGAAATTGCGATGGCAAAAGCCAAGGCAAGAACCATGAGGATTGTTGCGCGCCTATGCGGAAGCGTTGCACGCACACACAACGAACTTGAGATCACGGAAGAAGAAAGCCACACACTTGCACGAACCAAGCCAATTACGACAAATCAAACCAAACACAGAGATATACGTGGTTCGGCAATTGCCTACGTCCACGGGGAGAGGATAGGGAGATTTCACTATATGGAGGAGAAATACAACGGGTTATAACTCACAAAATCACTCAAATATAACCCTAACCAAAGCTTTCAACTCCATTACAATATCTCCCTCTCAAAGTGCTCAAAACAATGTTAATTCTCTCCTTTTCTCTCCTTTTGAAATCCTAAAAGACGTGGTTCTATTTATAATAAAACACAATCTCAAACAAAGGAGGATTCTCATACAAAGGAGGATTCTAAAAACGAGTTTGTCACACCCTGCACCATGGGTGTGGCAGAGGGTGTGGTGCAGGACAGATTCTGCCACACCCTGCACCGTGGGTGTGGAAGAGGGTGTGGTGCAGGACAGATTCTACCACACCCATGGCAGACACCACACCAGGGTGTGGTGGAGTCTGTTTTGGGTTATTCTTCACATTTTTCACAATTCCTTCGCCGTTTTCACAATTCTCCACCTCGGCGAAGTGTTCCCAACACTGACCCGACACCAACATGAGCACCAATGTGTCGTCTCTCTAAACTCGGCTGCACCAATGTGGTTGCCTACGTACCCCCCTCTCCCAAGGGATCAAGCCGCCCGTAGTTCATCCAAATGGCCGTCAACGGCCTCAACAATCACGAATGTGCAATAAGTTTCGACAATGATCAAACTTGTTGCTCGGAACCACATTAGTGAGCATATCCGTCGGATTATCCTTTGTGTGGACTTTCACAATCTCCACATCGCCATCTTCAAGAACATCCCGAACGAAGTGATAACGAACGTCAATGTGCTTCGTCCTCGTATAAAAAACCTAATTCTTCGCCAAATAGATAGCACTCATGCTATCATAATGAATGGTGACAGACCGCTGTGATATACCAAGTTCCTCCAAAAGTCCTCGAAGCCAAATAGCCTCCTTCACAGCCTCCGTAACTGCCATATACTCTGCCTCCGTCGTAGACAAAGCCACCGTCGACTGTAAGGTGCATCTCCAACACACCGGCGCACGGGTCAAAGTGAACACATACCCCGTCGTAGACCGGCGCTTATCCAAATCCCCGGCATAATCCGAATCAACATAGCCAATGCATAGCTGCCCACCTGTAGTGTCCCGCTCATAAACCAAACCAACATTGAGCGTACCTAGAATGTACCTCAAAATCCATCTCACGGCATCCCAATGACCCACTCCTGGATCGTGCATGTATCTCGACACCATGCTCACTGCCTGTGACAAATCCGGCCTCGTACATACCATCGCGTACATCAAGCTCCCAACTGCGCTCGCATATGGAGTCTTCGACATCAACTCACGGTCTTCAACTGACTTCGGTGAAAGGTCAGCTGAAAGCTTCAAATGGGCTCCCAACGGTACACTAACTGGCTTCGTATCCATGCTAACATGGAATCGCTGTAGAACCTTCTTCAAATAAGCCACCTGTGTCAAACAAATCCTGCCCTTCTTCTTATCTCTGCCGATCTCCATCCCTAAAATGCGCTTCGCCTCGCCCAAGTCCTTCATCTCAAACTCATTCGAAAGCTGAACTTTCAACTCATCTATAGCTGACCTGGAACTAGAAGCAACCAACATGTCATCGACATAAAGCAACAAATAAATGTACGCACCTCCTCTCAACTTGCGAAAATACACGCAAGGATCAAACTGGCTCCGAGTGTACGAATGACCAAGCATAAAACCATCAAATCGCCTATACCACTGTCGAGGAGACTGCTTCAAACCGTATAGCGATTTCTTTAGCCTGCAAACCAACTTATCTTTCCCTGCAGCTCGGAATCCCAATGGCTGAGTCATATATATTTCTTCATCAAGATCACCATGAAGAAATGTTGTCTTCACATCCAACTGATCTAACTCTAATCCATACTGTGCCACCAAAGCTAGCAAAATCCGAATCGAAGAGTGCTTCACCACCGGAGAAAAAACTTCATTGTAATCAATACATTCCTCCTGTGCATAGCCCTTCACAACCAACCTAGCCTTGAATCTCACTGGAGTGCCCTCAATGCCCTCCTTCTTCGTGTACACCTACTTGCACCCAATCGCCTTCCGCCCCTTTGGAAGCTCAACAAGCTCTCATGTATCGTTCTTATGAAGGGATTCCATCTCCTCCTGCATAGCCACCTGCCACGAATCAGCCTCCGAACTCTGCTCGGCCTCTCTGAATGTAGTAGGCACCATCTCATCGATACTCTCCACCGGAAGTGCATATGCAACTGTGTCGGCATACTGTGCTGGCACTCGTATGTCTCTCCTCTGTCTCTGTGCCGCAATAGTATCCTGAACCTGAGTCGTCGGTCCCTGATCCTGCTCATGAGTACCCGTAT